AAAAGTTCATTTTAAGTGTGTTGCTGCCTCCGCCTGGTTTTTTTTAAACTCAATTTTGTGCTATACTTTAAAAAGAATTCGTTTGGTATGTGTGAGATCAAAGTACCTTTGGTTGTTCTTGTATAATTGGTCATATTAGAAGCAAGTAATGCACTTTTAATATAAATCGAATAATTGAAATAAACATAAATTAATGACACATAACAACCTTGGAACATCAGTTTAAAAAAAAGTTGGCACCCCCGGGCCCTGGGCCCCACGTATATCAATACTCCATACATAATCTACATATAAATGATTGCACATCATCATGTGTAAATATATCATCTGTTATTCCGTATCATAACTAGAAATATAAAATAAAATGATACATGCGCTCACCGCTCGCCATGGCAACGGAGCCACGGCAAGCTTTTTTACAGAAAATATTTTGTAAGTAAATACGTATGACTACAGAGTACAGACTTCTGTATGTATTTATTTTTTTACATACTTTATTTACTGACCCGAAAGTATTTGAAAAAATATATATCTTCCGATTATACGTCAAGAGACACAAACGGTTTATAGCTAGCAGTGACGTAAGTGCAGGTGAAAGAAAGTGAGTGTTACAAATAACCAGTACGACACTAACGACGCTATCACAGTGTGACTAGTGCAAGGAGACACGTTTGTCGGTTTTGTTGGAGGTTGCATAGTGTATACTTGCGATACACGCACGATTGTCGACACAATATTTACAACCACGGGTGTCACTTACGTATAGAAATCAGACCCAGAGTCTTTGTACTGTCTTGTTTCGTGGAATACTTTTAGTGTATCAGGATGTTGTTGAATTGTAGCTATATTGTGCGGATTACGCTGCTACTTCAGCTGGTGTGCGCACTCGATACGGAAGACAACGTACAACTACATGCAGCAGACTATAAAATTGGCAATACCAACACCAATACCAAAGAGGCTTCCACTTCTACAGAAAATGGTCAGACACGCATCTCTATAGAACAGGACAATGCACCTGTCGGGGTGGAGCATATGCTTCGACATGAGGATCTTGATCTTGTCTCGAGAATTGACCAAACTAAGCTAACCATACTCTCCGCTGAGGCTGAAGTAATGGACGAGAAGAAGCCTTGTAAAAGTACAATGCAGCCAGACGGTAGTGTCACACTTGATTGCGAGTTGCAAGAAGTCGTAGACATGGATATGTCACAAAGGAACAACGTGCATGTACATGCCACTGCTCAACCGGATGTTGACATCTTGGGAGAAGAATTGGGAGCGAAAGAGAAAATATTGAATATGGTGAAGGATACTCAGGCGAGGGAGAATGTTGGAGAGCACAGTAGTAGTGGTCGAATGCATATAGTACAACCAGAACCGAGTGCTGGTTCGAATGCCGTAGCCCGCGATACAGCCGACGATATGGAAATACTAAGTGAGGCCAGTCCGAGACTATACAGGTCAGTGATTGTATGCGTGTGCGGTTGTAGTGTACGACACTACATATTTTTTGCAGCATTACTACTGCTATTCAAGAAAATGAGAGTTTCTCTTTAGAAGCTGACTTATGTTTATTAAGATGCTCCTGATACTATTGCACCATCAACTATTGGTCCTACATGTGTGATTGGTACAATCCGTTCCCAAAGTAGCGTAGCTAATGTGTGTGCAAAGCGCGTGTTTTTATGACTATATGTGTAGTCGAGAGACAAAATTGAGTTGTAAGTTGTCATTAACAACAAGTGGTTTTATGGTTTCAGACAATTACATTCTTTAACCATGCAGCTGGCTGTACTGGGCTAGAGCACAATTACTAGCATAGCCGTGTAAATAGTCCTGCTGTCAGCTGTGTTGTTATTTCCATGATGAAAACTGTACTCATAGAAGTTGGAAGACTGACTGTCGGTAACTATGTTTGAAACGAAATGTAAACACATGTCACTCGCATGTATATGTATTTTATTTGACAGGATTGATAAGTGCATAAACGACATAGACCCTACGTTAATGTATACACTATTTCGGCACATGATATGTGTGCAAGTTTTTCGTACATATGCAGTACTTATGTTATGAAAGGTATTACATGTGGCGTTATGCCTTTTGAATATGCAGTTGCATTGGAGGATATGCAGTATGGCGCACGCAAGAAAAGTTATATTGGAATTTGAGTTGTTCTGAAGTACATACTCGCCTACTACACTTCTTGGCAAGACAATATGGATGGCTCAACTTGTACCACTTCCAATAAATGCTCACACCTTGTCAGTAGCATAGGCCAGCATTTAGAGCCGCTGCCGTCGTCTTCAGAGTTGACATCTAAGCCTGTTTACTCGCACCTTGCGTGAAGTATTTTTTAGTTCAAGGATATAAAAATTTACAGTCCTATAATAAAGAGCACTTAGATACGTGCCAAAAAGAGGCGAACTTGTGTATTTATAGGTAATGGTTCCCTCGACTGCACCATATAGCGTTCCTTTGTTTGGGTCATAGATGGGGTAATACTTCCAATTAGCACTTTCTGGACATACCTACTATGTTTTCAGATTGCACTACGCTATTCAGAGCAGACCCATCGGCAGTGAAGGATCTATCACCAAACCGTTTACACTGGCGACGCTGGCCCTTACATACATTGCACATGTTCATTACCACCTCATTATTTGCTCGTGCATTTTTTTTATTGTTCCAATGCCATTTATATAGGTTTCCCCAATTCATGACCGACGATGATACAGCTGCTATAGTCACTAATTATGGGAACGCGTTGTTGCCAGTTGTAAAGAAAAGCGTTCAATTAGAGGGCGGGAATCAGCATAATGGTATGTTATTTAGTTGCGATCAACCCGACTCGGCTGACAATCTGCTGCTAGCTCTGGTATTTCAGATATGCAGATATTTTATTTTGAGGTTTATTGGTCACAACTCAGTTCTCAAGTCGTATGTAACATAGTGTTTTGGGTCCCTTAAGAGGCGAAAAAAATCATAGTTGAATATGTGAGATCCAAAGGACTTAGCGCCGATAACTCGAGATTTAGGGTTCAAATCGTCATTTCAGACTGAATATCAATACGTTCTCATACCTAGACTTAGATCAGTATTAAATAAACATACCAATCGTTGATCGCCACCGCCTCGTTAATCCCTCAGATGTAATGGAGGCAGTATTTATGGAGGCCACAGGGTCGTACAGGTCAAAGAGACATCGTGCAGCCCCCGACACTAAGCGGAAAATTAGAGGGCGATATGGTCTGCTCGAACTGAGTGAGAGCCAAGCCATGCGTTCGAAGGTGAGTGTACACGGTCGATGCAAACGGGGTTTCATTGGCATACCAAACAATATAGAGTATAGATATTCCAAGTGTGGCGATGCTAAGTTGGATTTAAAATCATCAAAGGTAAATACGGAGTGATCGAGTCACGCCTTCTATTCATAGGCGGGTATACACTGCCAATGCAAACGGTGTACCACAAGTAGTACGTACATTTTATGATATTTCTTTATATAGCGTGGTCATCTCATAACAAGGTTCATACGGCTTGCTCAAATTGAGCGAGGGCCAAGGCATGCAACTCGAGGTAGATTTACAATACAAGCAGTGTTCTATGGTTATTAACTGTGTTCTCGAACGTGAGACTTTTTATGGGGTGTGTGGCCAGAGCTGATGAGATGTTTGCATTTGAAAATCAGACCGAGTCATGTCACTGTAGGTAAGTGCCTGAACACAACGTATAAAAACGAAAGTCACTGCGTACAATTCCAATAATATATCTATAACTTCAATTCTGAATGCATGGGCACACATAGCTAAACCTCGCATAAATATATCTATAACTTCATGTCTGAATGCAAGGGCACACATAGTTAGAGCTCGCATAAATATATCGCGGCGCTCTCACTCCGATTTGCTCTTTTGAAGCCCTTCTTATAAACATACAATATATATCCTCTCGGGCGCTCGCATGATCGATGACAATGCTAAAATAGACCATCCTATCAATGACAGGCCATTCGTTCAATGCGGCGCCGATTGGAGCGGGAGTTGAAAGTGCCACAGAGTCACTTTGAACCGGTTGAAATTCGGCACTTGAAGGCATCCGTGCAAGGCTCCGTGGCAGGTAACTCAAAGGATCAGTAGTGATCCAGTATATGTTCATGAAATTATGCATGTATTCTCTATACTGGTGTTGCCATACTTTTCAGATCTTTATTTTGTTCTCATCTCTAGTACGTGATCATTAGGATCGGTCATTTATAGGCGTCGTTCCATGCGGTAGTGTATCTCTATTTGCTGATTCTTTTACGCTCCCGTATTCTGAATGTGTATTTATATAAAATAAACAAGCTGTTCATACCAATATAGAGAGGTTGTTTGTCACAACTTGTACAATAATACATACATCAATTTCACATTCTCTCTCTGGACTCTGACAGTGACTCGCACAATATGTCTTCCAAGGTTGTCGTCCAAAATAAAGTCCACCTGGCCTATCAAAATTATTTTCACTTTTTGTTGTAATTCACTGGTATATTCTCGAATCAACCCTGAACCTCCAGACCAAAAAAAAATTGAGCCCAACCACCCCTACTAGTGTGTGGAGTTTACGATATTCAAGAATTCAATATACGCACACGCTCATGTCAGCACTTATGCCCTTCGGGAGTGAAGTTGATGTGAAGAAGTGTCCCAGCCGGTTTCTGGCTGGTACATTGGTCTAGGTAAACGCACTAACACTTCATTTTTCAACCCCATTGGCAGACGCCATTCTACCTCGATATTCGACACAGGGCAACTATGGAACCCGGACGGCCACACTCATTACTTTTCTAAGGTATTTACAATGCGCTCGTGCATCGATTAGATGCATAAAAAACATACATAATCTCTATATAGATATATCTTCTATAGGGATTAGGTCTAATCCTTTTACTATCGAGTTGTATAAGACTAATATTGAACGAGTGATCTATCATCTACACCATAACCGGTGCGGATGCTGATGGATATATCGTACAAATGTCGATTCTAAAATAAGAAAAGTCTTCGTAGAAAGTTGCTGTCGATTGTACAAATTGAAATTGATTTCTGAAAGATTGGGCTTGCGCGGACAATATTGGCTGGTCATCTCATTTGCTAGAATGCTGAAGTACCAGCCCGCTGCCAAATCTCGTCGTTGAGATTCAGCATAAAGCATAGTCTGGAAGCACCGGTATTGTTTTTCCCATCTGATTGATGACTAATTATTCATCTCGCCAAACCTTCAGTACTTCCACAGCGCAAAGTGGGGGCGAAATTATCTTTCCGCTTACATTCGCGAATAGTACGCTGAGGTCCAGGCCCCACGCCTCGTTGTATGAACCAGTGCAAGAGACGATTGTCAATGAGGCCCGAAAGTCGTTTACTGTAGGTCTGCATGGAGTTTAATTGTTGGTCTAAGGGGAAGAATACTTTTTTCTGTTCCTAAGAAGTGAATTTTGCGTCACTTCGATGGATCCTCGTGTAAGCATATATTTCACATTTGCGTGCGATCCGAACGTGTGGATTATGTATAAACTAGCATAGAAAAATGTTCTTTGAGACATAATTTACGCTAAAACAATAACGTAGTGTCCGTTAAATCCCAAAACACAGTCTATTTGGCTTGTTAAAAGATTATTTTTTTTACTTTGAGGTGTTTGTCAGCTATTTTTGCTCATTAGCATATCATGTTACTATGTATCGATGCGAGGTACCAACGGCATACCGACAACACAAATTGAGTTTAAACTACTTGCCGACTTGATAATCGGGAGCCTCCTACCGAGATATTCGAAGTCTCAACTTTTCAGAATTGGGCTGTTTTAGTTTTTAAAAATTACTTGAAGATCATATCTCTAAATTTGGTTTTGCAAACAGGATATGTGCGGCAACAAGACCAACGATGTTGTCCGTGTGTTACCCGAGAGAGGCTCGGCAATTATATTGTACCATACGCACATCGACGGCCAGCTTGATGATTGGGTGAGTAAAGATTCAAGCATCAAATGTATTGAAACAGACATGTAGCTATGATTCCTCTGTGATTTGTAACAACCTCAATGGTCACATCAGAACCGCAAGTGTGTTCTTGCGTGGTAACATCATGTTAGAATCATGTACAGCGAAGCAGAAACTTGTCCAAGTAGTGAACACGCGGCATATTCCTGTTTTAGTATCATGGTGACTATCGAGAGTACGTCGACTTACCGCATATCGAAGGCAAGCAGCAGTGATCGGCTTGGTCAAGTCGCGTACCGGCTGGTATCACGCCAAATATAGGGATAATTATATAAATATATATATGTGTGTGTGTGTGTATGTATGTACGTATGTGTATGTATGTATGTATGTATGTATTTGTAGCAGTATATGTATGTATGTATGTATTTGTAGCAGTTTATGTAGCATAAATATACATATACATACTTATATTTAAATATATATATACATTGGTTCCGCGCCTACTACCTATAACCCGATCGCATGCGCTTACTTTCTCGCAGAGCGTGTACGCAAATTGCCCAGCTGCCACAGGCGATGTATGGATGATCGTGCAACATGTAGCCCAGGAGATAGTTCAGATGCGGATGTGGCCCAAATTGCTTGGCCGATGGCAGGTACTACTATGATATGCTTCTCTTGTACACGTGTTTAGTCTGTAATGTATAAGAAGCGATTTGTATCATTAATATGTTCGTATCAACACACACGCCGTGTAAAAGTACACATATACGATGACAAATTGTAGAACAACAAATGTATTTGTGATAAACATGCGTGTAGCGCGATCTGCCATGGTGTCTTTCGATGCTTCATTAGCGAAAGGATAGATTGGTATTTGCAGCTATATCTGTCACCACATAGCTGGCGCATCGGTTGTACCCCAAATACACTTCAACAAATATCCTGACCCAAACTATCAATTAAAAACTAGTGGATAACGTATTTTCGAACAACTCGACTCTCGTTCCTCGGTGTCGTGTGTTGAATCTAGCCATATCCTGGACATCTGTTAAAAATATGCGGACTATACAGACTACTTACTTTGCCACCATGATGCTATTCAAAATAGCCCGACTCTGACCTAATATAATGTTCTTCCTCTCTGTCATGGCGTCATTACGGTGTGCCAGATGAACCAGCTCGCTGAAGGGGACTTTATCATACCGAATCAGGCGAGAAATGGGAACCATATGCAAGTCAAAAGTGTCTTCGGTAAACCAAGAAGCTCTCTTAAAAAAGGTGGGATTGTCCAAAGCATATCTAGATGAGTATGTTGTATTTGTTAATTTATTTACGTATTTGTATCAATTTTGGTGCACTATATAGAGAATACCTAAATCAGGTTTCGAATGCAATGTGATATCCACCTTGACGTGAAATGCTAAACTCGTACATAGACTTATGCCGATACACGGAAAAGCATTTCGTTCATGGTCCATACACCTAGATCACCAATATTACTCTACTCGACGCCCAGGTGGAAAATTCGACACAACCGCGCACGGGCAGTTCTGTACCACAGTGGACCTCAGTCCTTTAAGACACACGCGTGCGCTCACACTGGTGATGCTTGTAAAGCAACAGAGCTGTCGCGGGGGAGGAGCCGGCCGTGTCGGCGGAATGGAGCAGGTCGACGAGAGGTCCAACACCTACGTGACACTGTCAACCAAGGAGGGTATGTTTGTGGTTTTATGCACTGTCGTATTTTAAAACGTATTGGTATTGGCACATATAGTACGCGCATATAAACATGCACACTCACGCACAACATTCAACTCCGTAGCTAAGGAAGTGGCGGATACCACCAGGTGCTGTGGTTGGAAGATTCGATTTTCAAAGCAGTGCAAAGTCGATGTGTTCGGCCCCGACCGTCCTATCAAGCACTCGCTGCGCCCGAACACCCTCCAACTTGTACCAAACACGTGGGTGCCTATCATTGTATCCGTGACAAATACGGGGGACTCGCTGGCTTGGGTGAGTGAGTATGTGCCCGTGGAGCCTAAGAAGAGTATCAAGGTGAAAGCACGTGCTGATTCAGATACTGTGGCCGATGACGATTCTAGAGAGCCGTTGGTGGAAAAGTATGATCTCATCGCCGAGCGATTATCTTTGACATGTGGTGGATTGACCAAGATAGTTATGCTCGATCGTATTATGTTGTTGCTGCTGTTGTTGCATGTGCGATTTGGGAAAGAAATAAAGCTCGATCGTACTATGGTTAATAGATTTAGATGTTGCGGTCTATCTGCCTTGGACAAATCAATTGTTGCTGCTGTTCTTGCATATACTCGTGGGTGAAAGCATTGAGTGCAATAGTTCTGTGTTGTACTTATCTGTAGTTAGGTACAACGTACCCAGGTATGAATATACCTTACACATCTACAGCTGGCATGGGAACATTGACTACACAAGATCACATACATATACTGATTGCGAAATCACACGCACTTACACACACTCAGTGAAGAAACAGAGGAGCAGGAGGAGGTCGACGACGAAGAGCAGCCCCCAAATTGGGACTGGGACGAAGATGACGAAGGCGATGAAGGCGATGAATCTGGACGGTGTGTGTACAATTGCCAATCTAATGTCGAAAGTCAATCCTGAATTTAACATCCTCTGCACGCATACTACATCCTGACGTGGCTAACTATACGTGGCCATTTGGCGCCAGAATTCGCTGTGTCTAAGCTGTATGTTGCATCATTCCGATGCACGAGGCCAGCGGTGATACTAAATGCAACCTATACACTTACACATATCTAGAGAGGCAAGTACAACCCTCCCGAATCTAAAGGGTGACGAGGTGGGTGAAAGGGTCATGAAGGAACTGAGACAAGGACCAACGCACGCTAAAAAGGAGCCGCCTATGCCGGCACAGAAGGTCGCAGACACAGGTACTGTTGTTTGGTGAATTTGTTGTTATGAACATATGCGGGCTGGTACTACATGGTTATTTCATATTGGTCTTAGACCTATGGGTGGGAAGTAACATGTGGTTTTAATCCGCGAGGAGTATTTTATTTAGCAGCCTCCTTCTTAGAGCTATGCTTGGAGTTCGTGAACTCTATAATATTGAGTCGGTGCTGAGTGCGCGCTGTCTGATATGTAAGTCGTTATCAGGCCTTCAAGCGCTAGTAGTGCACGCACGTAAATTGAGGCATGATATGCGTAGACTGAGGGCCGTAGCACCTTCAGAAGAATATATTTGTCTTTGCTCGTTTTATTGGCACAAGTCTGGCGGCGTATAAGTGAGCCTTCATATACACCCAAATATCTGAGTAGATCACTCAACGCGGACCTGGTCTCTTGCGATGTATCTTTACGATTTATAAAACCAGTAGGACCGACCAAACCACCGCCTGTCAAGAACAGCCGGAGTGAAAACAAGAAAAGGATCAGCAATACCAAGTGGTCGTACGTCAATGCTTTGATGTCTGGGTCAGGTTTTGGGGCGAGTGCCGGTGACGCTGAGTCGCATAGAAGTATAGGTCATACCGATCCCCAAACGCGCATGTACGAGCAGTTGCGAAAGATCTCTATCTCGCAATCTGTTCGAACGATCAATGATGACGACACCAATTACGAGGAGGTGTGTTGTATATAAGTGGAGCACAGTCCGGCTCATCCGACAAAAAACTATTGGCAGTTATGCACGGGTGTGTGGCACTTATATGTAACTTTTAGTGTCGATGTGCGAGAACTCTTACTGCATGTTACTTTTATAAGGATGTAACATAGACTTTCTACTTGATGTTCAGCGGAGATTATATCTGGGGTGTATGACGGGATATGCCATTGCGTCTGATATACTCGGTTGATCTGGAATATCCGCAACACTCTGTTGTCAAGTAGAACAGCACGCAGTCGAATAGCTACAAATGGTCATTCTTAAAACGGCACACATTGTAACTTCCAGAAGTGTATTCAATCTACTGTATGGTAACTCCCCACTCTACAGACCCGCTTGTGTTTGGACAAGGAGCGAGGTATAGAGGTTTCCGAAATTCTTCTGGTGCCACAGCATGTGACGGGTGCTGAATTAGACCTACTGATTTCAAGTATGAGTGAGAAGATATAATATCGGATTTAATCGCGCAGAGCAAGCTTGTACTCTGTCTGGCAAATCGGATCCATGCTGCAATATAGTGACCTGCTTCGGAATGGTGACCACAACCATGAGTGGCAATGGCAGAACTACGGGGAGCTGAGAAATACAGACCTTGTCGATCTCCAATTAAGTAAATTACATAGCTGAGTAAAGTATATAACTGGATTAAACAAATTAACAATGTGCATACTTGCTTGAGGACAACCGTTTTATCGATGAACGCCAAAGAGCCGCTTCAAGTCGATTGTATCAACTGCAAATATATAAATCACCTGCCTCGAAACATGAGTGAGAGCTTATGTCTATAAATATATATGTATGTGTGTGTGTGTGTGTGTACGTATATACGTATATACGTATACTTGTATCTATGTATGTATATATATATATGTGTGTATGTGTGTATTTATGTATTATATATATATATATATATATATATATATATATATATATATATATATATAAATCAAACCCTGCCAATTTCCAATTAAGTGAAGTATATAGCTTTGCTCTATGAATGACTGGATTCAAAATAATACAGAATATGGCATGGTTCTTTAATAATTCAATCCAGTATCTGATTGAACAGTGACATATTTACTACCAATTGAAAGAGGAGATTAATACAAGCACGTCAGTACCTTGAAGTAGCTAGTACGATGTCTATGAGGGAGTCTATGAAGTATATCAGAGAACTGGCTACGCGGTGGCTTCAAATTGGCTACGATTGGTTTTACGGTGGTTTCAACGTGGCTTCAATTTGGGGTTTTTGAAAACTTTTTTTATCTACAAATCACGCTGAAAATAGTGTTCAGGAGTGTTCTGACTTTTGAACTAAAATAGCTAAGGTATTACTTCCAACGAGAAAAAGTCTTTAAAATGACTGAAGTTAACTTCTCTACCCTTCGATTTGTTGATATATTTGATACTGGGTTAATAGTGCAATCCCTATCGGAAAAGATTTTTGGATCATCTGTATAACAGTAAAAATAAAATCAAAAAAGGGGCTCTTAAAGACACTCGCTTCGACATGAAAGAGCCCGCCTAGATTCAATTATATATATTTATTAAATATAGAACATTTGCTATAAACACTACTAATATATGGCCAGTCAACATCTGCCAAAGCCACACAGCTCCGGAGCACCATCATCTCATAATCTGATCGCACCCTCGCTTCCCATGCATACCCTGAATTCTACTACTATAGCAGTCAGGATATCTGTCTGAGACAGAGAGTACTTGACAACAGGCCGTCTTGACACTGGCACAAACTGGCTGCGACTTCGGCTACCACTACGCTACCACAGGGGTGGCTTCACAGCACTCGGCCTGGCATTCTATACAGGGAGAGGCCGCCACACCCGCTTTCTGTTGAGTGTCCGCACCGCATCCATACATACTGCAGGTCGTCTGTGGCTGTGCCTGTGCCTGTGCCTCACAGCACTCGTTCTGACAATCAGCACAATATACCATTTCATAATCGGCCCTCAGTGTAGTGCCTGCGGTACAAGCGTGGGATCCACACATGGGCTGCGCATCACAACACTCCGACTGGCAGTCGCTCACACATACGGCCTCCTTGTAGCCTGCCTTCATAGTAGAGCCAGCTGTACACTGATGACCCTTACACTGTGGTTGACAGCACGTGGAGAGACAGTTGTCCGCATCTGTACACGGAACTGCCTCGACATTGGCGGCCTTGACCGTGTTCGCAGGGCACTGAGTCACGCTGATGCATGTGTAGCCACAGCACGACTGTGCACAGTTACCCAGATCGCACTCCTTTAGGCTGTCGGCGGTGTTGGACATGCCCGCCGGACACAGATCATCAAGCATGCCACTACCACACGTCAGTGTGTTGCAGCAGGTGCCTTCACAGTCACCACCCGCACACTCCACACCCGACTCCAGCATGCCCATGGCGTAACCATTCACCTTGTTCGGTTCGGTACCGGTGTCACACGTGTGATCGTCACACACGTACGCACAACAGATACTATCACACGATCCGGGTTCAACACCACAGACCGTCTCTGCGGGTCTGACATTGCGCATGGGCGGACTAGTCAGCGTACAATCGTGCGCTCCACACGTAGGTATCAGTGAACAGCACGTTGCCTGGCAGTTGGCTTCGTCTCCATTCTCACACATAGTGGGCACAGTTCCGTCGATAAACAAGTTCTGATAGGCAGGATCTGCACACACCACTCCGGCACACATGGCGATTGGTTTGCAGCATGCTTCGCAATTGCCTTGGGGACACACGCCATCAGCGCCCATCGCGGCCATCGTACCTTCGGGACAGCCCTCGGGCATCCCCAGGCCACACGTGTAAGAGGCACAGCAAGAGGTACAATCATCTCCCACACAGGCGGCTGCAGGGTCGGGGTTGAGCACATCATCGGGGTTCGCACACGTGTGTTCCGAACACATCTTCGACTGCTGGCAACACGAGGTCACACAGTTCTCGTACCCGCCCGCACAGATGGTCGCGTCAGGCATCTTCACGTCGTTCTCTCCACACGTCGCAAAGGCGCAGGTAGCCACAAGGCAACAGTCGTCTTCACAGTTATCGGTGGTACATAGCTTGGCCGTATCCGAAATGACGTTCGCGTTGGGATCACTACACGCAGACACAGACGCACAGGTGGCAGAACAACAGCTCGCGCAGTCGCCGCCAACACACACCTCTCCTTCAGCCGCATCGTTGGCGTAACCAGGCAACGCACACGCTTGTCCTGCGCATGGAATAGTGGCGCAGCACACGGCCTGGCAGTCCGCGCCCTCACAGGGTGTGGCTGGATCAACGGCTATCACCGCGTTAGGGTCCACGCACACACCACCCAGTGACGCGCATGTGGGTGTGCAGCACTTGCCGCAATCTCCATCGGGACAGATGGTATCCGGCGCCATCATATTCGCGTAGCCAAGGATACCCTCGCACGTGACGCCATCGCACGACGGTGCACAGCAGGTGGCAGCACACTCACCCTGTGGGCATACAGTGTTGTGATCTTGAACCTGGTAGTCGGTTCCTTCGGCGCACGCTTCCATACCACACGTTTTGATAGCGCAGCAACTGGCCTCGCAGCCACCCTCGACATCAGGCTTGCATTGGATCGTCAAGTCCGGGTTTCTCATGGCCAGAGGATCGGCACACGCAGTGTGGTACTCGCACGTTGGCGAGCAGCACGTGGCGGTACAGTTACCTCCCTCACATGGTGTGGCGTCCACAATCGTCTTGATGTGCGTGGGTGGACACGTGGCAGCATCACACGTGGGCGTGGTGCAGCACGTGACCGCACAACCAGCGTCGCCACAGAGCGTCTCGTCCACAACGGCGTTCACCTCATTCACCCCACACTCGTACGAGGCACAGGTGAGACCACAGCACTGGCCACAGTCACCGTCGGGACAGGGTGCCTCCCCTGGTAGGACAGCTGCCATGCCTGCCGCGGTATCGCACGGCGCAGACGCACAGGAGATTGAGCAGCAATCAGTGCATGAGCCATAAGGACAGATGGTCTCCGGAGCGGCGGTAGCTACATATCCCACACCGCATGCTTCGTTCTCACAAGACTTGGTAGCACAACAGTTCTTCTCGCAGCCACCATCCGCCGCGGTGTTGCACACGGTATCATTCAAGTTTCGCATCGCCAGAGGCTCGGCGCAGGTATGGGTGCCACAGGTGCCCAAGTACGAGCAGCATGTTTCAGTACAGTCGCCACCGGCACAGACAGTCTCCTCAGCGGCGAGGTTCTCATAGTCAGCCGGGCACTCGTGGAAGGCGCACGTGCGTTCTTCACAGCACGCGGTCGCACAGTCATCACCACACGCCGTGGTATCCGGCACGAGCGGGTTTCTGACAGAGTTGGGCAGCTCAGCCGTCGTACACGTGGTTGAAGCACACGTAGGCGTGCAGCATGAGGTACAGTTGCCCATAGGACACGCCGTCTCGGGCGCCATCGCTGCCACATAGCCGTCGGGGCACGTGTGTGCACCGCACGTGAGGCCCTCGCAACATGTTTCCAGACACCCATTCTCGCCACATACCGTGTCGGCAGGCATATCATTGCGTACCGCGTTAGAATCCTCGAGTGTACAGTTGGCGGTCGCACACGTCGCGGCACAGCACGCCTCGCAGTTACCTTGAGGACAGGGCGCGTCTAATGACTGTGCCAGTACGTAACCTGCTACACATGGCGCCTCGGCGCAAGTCATGTAGTAGCAGCACGACTTCTCGCAACCACCTTCGGCATCCGACGCACAGACCTGGCTGCTGTTCGTGTTCACCATAGCAAGATCGCTGGCACACTGGTAAGCACCGCACGTACCCTTGTGGCCACAGCATGTCTCCGTACAGTTCCCTCCGACGCATACAGTCTCTGCGGGGAAGTCGTTCTCGTAGTTAGCGGGACAGACGAATCCGCCGCAAGTAAGGGTCTCGCAACAGGTACTGCTGCAGCCTTCCTCCCCACAAACGGTGGTAGAGGGCACGTCCGCTCGGCTGACCGAATTAGGCGTCTCAGCTGTAGTACAGTTCTCGGAGGCGCATGTAGCCGCGCAACATGCTGAGCAATCACCTTGAGGACATGGTGTGGCAGCGTCTTGCGATTGGATGTAACCATCGCCACAGGGGAGCTCTGCATCGCACGTTTTGTTGAAACAACACGTCGACTCACAGCCACCCTCCACCTTCGGCTGACACTCCTGCGATTTGTCCGGGTTGACCATGGCCAGATCACTGGCACACGTGTGGTTGCCGCACACTAGAGGCGCACAGCAGGTCTCCTGGCACCCTCCTCCGACACACTCCGTCTCGCCGGGCATTGAATTGATGGTGTTCTCGCCGCACATGAACTCGAAGCACGTGGCCGTCTCGCAACACGTGGCTCTGCAATCGTCACCGGCGCAGAATGTTTCGTCCTTATTGACAATCGCGGCAATGTCCACTTGGTTGGGGAAATCCGAGGTGGTACAGGTGATCACCGCGCACGTGGGTGCACAGCATACCGTACAGTCGCCCTTGGGACAATCCGTGGTAGGCTCTTGTACCAAACCGTATCCGGGCCCGGCCAGAGCTTCGCAAGGTTGGTCCGAACACGTGACATTGCGGCAACACGTGGCCTCGCATCCAATCTCGCCACATAGCTCAGTAGGTACATTCTCCATCGCATTCGGATTGTTACAGCTGTAGTCACCGCAAGTCGGGTCTCTGCAGCAGATATCCGCGCAGTCGCCGCCACAGACAGTGTCCAGCGGTACGGCATTGTCGCGGTGTTCGCACACCATCGACTCACACGTGGGTATGCAGCATGAGGTACAGTTACCGTTGGGACATACCACCCCGAGGGTACCGTTGTTAATGTTGGCATAGCCGGCAGCACATACTTCTGCGTCACACACAGGCGTCTCACAGCAGGTGGCTTCACAGTTCTCGACACCACCACATGCGGTGGTCTCGGGCACAAAGAGCACAGCCGGGGCGGTGCACTCGTATGCGCCGCACACAACATCACAGCATGCACTACAGTCTCCATAGGGGCACGTTGTGTCGTTCGTCTGCACCAGCACGAAAGGTGCCGCGCAGGATGTATCCGAGCACGTCATATTGTAACAGCACGCGGACTCGCAGCCACCCTCGGCATCCGACTGGCACACTCTGGTCAGGTCTTCCGGCATCATGGCCTCGGGATTGGCGCACGTGTGCGTGTTGCACGTCGGCCTGCAGCATTCCGTGCAGTCTCCATTGGGACAAGGAGTGCCTGGCGTAGCGGACGCGACGTTCAAATACCCGGCTAGACACTCGACCGCATCGCACACAGGCATGGTGCAGCATAGATCGTCGCACGTGCCGGTCTCGCCGCCACACACGGTGGTGTTGAGGCCCGACTTGACGGTGGGTGCGGGGCAAGCATGTGCTTCACAGGTAGCCGAGCAACAGTCCGAGCAGTCGCCCTGGGGACAGATGTCTTCTCCAGTCAGAACGAGCACCTGAGGTGCTGTGCACGGACGTTGGTCGCAGGTAACCATGCGACAACAGCTCTCGTCACAGCCCGCCGCAGTACCATCGGCACACATGGTGTTGCTGTTGGGGTTCACAAAGGCCAATTCATCACAAGTGTGCGAGGCACAGGTAGATACGCAGCACGATGCGACACAGTCCAAGTCCTCGCATTCCTGCTCAGCGGTGCCGTTGTTGGCGTAGCCAGCGGGACACTCCACATCCTCGCACGTTGGCACAACACAGCACGTCTGCGAACAACTCGCGCCGCACAGAGTGTCGAGCGAGAGGTCATTGTTGAACTCCGAGTCTTCGTCACTGCGCGAACAGTTGTGAGACGCACACGTGGCCTGGCAACACTGTGAACAGTCACCCTGGGGACATACCAGCTCGTCTGCACCCTGCAGCTTCACAAAGCCAACTGGACACTCAGTAACCGCCGCACAGGTAACTTCCGAGCAACAGTTGGTTTCACAATCGCCGTCCGTACAAGCTATAGTGTTGTCTGGCGACTTGTAGTCCATTTCGTTGGTACAGTTATGCGAAGCGCACGTGGGCTGGCAGCACTCTGAACAGTCGCCTTCGGGGCAGTTAGCGCCGGCTTCGACGTGCACAAAGTTCACGGGACAAGACAGAATCTCGTCACACTCTTGGATCTCGCAACAGATACGGTCGCAATCGTCTCCGCAGATGGTGGCGTTAGTCGCATTGAGCGTCGCATCGGGATGCAGACAGTCGTGTAGCTCACATGTGGCCACGCAGCATTCTGAACAGATACCCTCGGGACAAGGTGTCATAGCTGGGTTGGCGTTCACGGAGCCGGCACCACACACATACTCGTCGCACATGGGCGTGTCACAGCACGACTCGTCACAGCCATCGGGCCCGCAGAGAGTGGCGTCGGTGACACCATCAGGGTATACGGCAAACACATCTGAGCAGTTGTGGCTGGCGCAGGTCTTGCCGAAGCAGTCGCCACAGTCAGCGGTGGCACACAACTCAGCGCCATCCTTGATAAGCGCAGATCCAGCGGGTAAGGGGTACATGTTGCAGGTAACATTACTGCAACACGAGACCTCGCAATCGCCCGCACACAGCGCGCTATTTTCGTTGCGGAACGCCAGCGGCTCGGCGCATGTGTGTGTCGCGCACGTGGGTGCACAGCAAGCGCTGCAGTCTCCCTGGGGACACGAAGTGGTGAGGTTCTGCACCAGCACGTACCCGGCCACAGGCAACGCTGCACAGTCTTTATCGGCACACGTGTAGTTGGCACAGCACGACAGCTCGCAGCCGCCGTCACTGTCTGGCAAGCATGGGGTAGACTGATCGGGGTGGACCACCGCATCCTCCGAGGCACATGTGTGGTCAGAGCATCTCTTGACTGAGCAACAAGTCGTGGTACAGTCGCCTCCGACACATACAGTCTCGTCTGGCATGCTGTTGTGGTAGCCGTCGGCACACACGATACCGGCACAGGTGGCCTCCTGGCAACAGGTGGCCACACAATCACCGTCAACACACGTGGTGTTGCCGTCCACGGGGACCGCGTTGGGATTCGCGCACGTGTATGAAGCACACGTGTGTGCACAGCACGCTGAGCAATCTCCGCCAGGACACGTTGTATTGGCATCCTGCTGCGGCACGTAGTTGTCTGCGCAGGGGATATCCGCACACGTGACATTGGCGCAACACGTTTCCTCGCAACTCGCACCACACGCCAGAGTCTGGTCCTCCACCTTGAAGGCGAGCTCGTTGTGACAGCTGTGGTCGGCACAGGTGGGGTCTCTGCAGCACATCTCAGCACATTCGGCACCACAGATTGTGTCGAGCGGCACAGTCTCGTCGGTGTGGGGGCACTCCATAGCCGCGCACGTACGCGTGCAGCACGAAGTACAGTTGCCGTTTGGACACTCCGTTCCGGCCGTACCGTTATTGATCTTGGCGAAACCGGTATCACACACCTCAGCATCGCACACGGGCATGCTACAGCACGTGGTCTGGCAGTTCTCGGCGCCGCCGCAGGGGAAGTCTGTGGGCATGGACGGTATACTCGGGGCAGCACACTCGTGTATGCCACAGGAGACATCGCAGCACGCAGAGCAGTCGCCCTGGGGACAGAAGGTATCGTTGGTCTGGATGAGTACCAGGCCACCGGTGCAGGGCTTGTCGGCACACGTTGCATTGTAGCAACACGCCGACTCACAGCCACCGTCTTCGTCCGCTTGACACAGCGTAGTAAGATCCGTGACAACCATTGCGTCCTCGCTGGCACACGTGTGTGTGTTGCACGTTGGCAGGCAGCACATGGAGCAGTCGCCATCTGGACAATCGTCCGCGGCGGTGCCGTTGTTATAGTAGAACTCGTCGCACGTGTGGTCCTCACACGTCTTGTCTCTGCAGCACACGTCTCCACAATTGTCGCCACAGGGCGTCTCGGGCGGTAGGTCGTTGGACATGTGAGTACAGTTGTGAGAGGCACACGTGTTCATGCAGCAATTCGCGCAGTCGCCGTTGGGACACTCGTAACCAGGCTCGCCAGCGTTAATGTTCATCTGGCCAACAGCGCACTCGACAACATCACACACGGGCATGCTGCAGCATGTCGCAGCGCACCCATCCGCACCGCACACAGTGGTATCGTTCGCGGTTGTGAGCGTGGGGGCCTCGCACGAGTGTACCCCGCACGTTTCGGCGCAGCAGTCCGTGCAAACTCCTTGCGGGCAAACCTCGTCGTCAGCCAACACCTGGACAATGGGCGCGACACACTTGCCGGCGCACGTGACCATGGCGCAGCAGCTCGTTTCACAGCCCTCCGCGGTGCCACCGGTACACATCGTGCTGTTGTTGGGATTGACATAGGCCAGCTCGCTTGCGCATGTGTGTGATGCACACGTGGGTACACAACACGAGGCCACGCAGTCCAGATCGTCGCAGTCGTTGTCCGAGGTGCCGTTGTTAGCGAAACCGGCGGGGCATTGCACATCCTCGCACGTGGGCACGACGCAGCACGTCTGGGAACAACTCGCACCACACAGAGTATCCTGGGACACATCGTTGTTGCTTGTAGAGTCTTCGTCCGAGTGGGTACAGTTGTGTGACGCACACGTTGCTTGGCAACACATGCTGCAGTCGCCTTGAGGACATTGCATCTCATCGGCACCCTGAAGCTTGATGTGACCAGCTGGGCACTCCTCCGCAGCCGCACAGGTGATCACAGAGCAGCAGAAATCGTCACAGTCGTTATCCATGCCATTGCATATGGTCGCATTGTCCGGCTTCTTGTACGCCATAGGATCGGTACAGTTGTATGCAGCACACGAGGGCTGGCAGCATTCTGTGCAGTCACCTTCGGGGCAAGTGGCGCCGGCTTCAAGGTGCACGTAGTTGACGGGACAGGAGAGCACCTCGTCGCACTCCTTGATGTCGCAACAGATTAGATCGCAGTCATCCCCACACACGGTGGCGTTCGTGCCATTGCGCTGGGCATCGGGGTGCAGGCACACGTGTGACTCGCACGTGGCCACGCAACAAGCGGTACAGTTGCCTTCGGGACAGGGCTCGAGGGCTGCGAAGTTGTTGACGTATCCCGGCTGGCAGACGGTACTGTCGCACGTGGGCATGTCACAGCATGTTTCATCACACCCATCCGCGCCGCAGAGAGTCTCATCCGTGACACCATCGGGGTACACGGCGAAGACATCCGAGCAGCTGTGGCTGGCGCAGGTCGGGCCAAAGCAGTTGTCGCACACAGGCGGGTTGCACATGTCAGCGCCGTCCACGACAAGCGCAAATCCAGCGGGTACGGGGTACATGCTGCACGTGACATTCGAGCAACAGCTAGTCTCGCACGAGTCACCGCACACCGTGCCGTTGTCGTTGCGGAAGGCAAGCGGCTCGGCACACTCGTGCGAGACACAGGTGGCAGCGCAGCAGGTCTCCTCACACTCTCCACCGGGGCAGGTGACGCCAGGCGTGGCTTCCTTGAGGTAGCCGGCCGCGCACACGTAGTCGTCGCATGTGACGATGCCGCAACAGTGCGTCTGGCAACCCTCCGGTCCACACACTTCGGTCGCATTGGCGACGGCCGTGGCGTTCTCGCGCGTGTCTGAGCAGACGATAGTCGCGCACGTGGCCTCGCAACATGCGCCACAGTCGCCTTGAGGACACACGGTCGAAAGATCCTCCAGAGCCATGTAGTTGTCGGGACACGTGACCATCTCGCACGTCACAGTCTCGCAACAAGCCTCGTCGCACCCTTCGGTATGCGGGCACGCCGTAGCTACGTTCGCGGGGTTGTTGTACGCCAGAGGATCGGTACAGTTGTGCACATCGCAGGTCGTGAGTGAGCAGCAGATCTCCTCACAGCTGTCGCCACAGATGGTCGACAGGTTGGCGGACATAACAGCACCTTCGACGGGGCACGCAGTGACTGTCTCGCAAGTGGGCACGCAGCACGCGCTGCAATCGCCTTGTGGGCAGTACGCGTCGGCGTCCTGGATAACGTATCCGGCTTCACAGTTCTCCGCGTGCATTTTGCACGTGACGGCGAAGCAGCAGGCCTCCTCGCACTCGCCATTGGGACATACAGTGGCGTTTCCAGGGGCTTTGTACGCTTCGGGGATTGCGCATGTGTGCGTCGCGCACGTGACAATCTCGCAACAGACCTCGTCACAGTCATCACCACATACTTGCGTAGTGTCGTTAGTGTAGATCGCGCCGGCAACGGAGCACTCGTGTAGTGCACAGGTGGCTGCACAGCAACCGCTGCAGTCGCCTTGCGGGCACACAACCTCTCCGGTTTCGGCAAAGCCTTGAGGGCAACCGTCCGCAGGACAGATGACCACCTCGCAACACGTCTCATCACACCCCTCGGGCAGACACTCTGTAGCGTTCTTTGCGGGGTCAATGTACGCCCCGGCATCGGTACAGGCGTGGGCTGCACACGTGGTGATGGAGCAGCACACCTCGTCACAGTTGTTTCCGCACACCAGACTCGAATCGTCGGTCACAAATGCATTCTCGGACGAACACTTCTCGATAGACGCGCATGTGGCCACACAACACTTCGAGCAGTCACCTCCGGGACATGCGGTGGTTCCGTCTGTGCCATTGACAGGTACGTACCCCACTAAATCGGTGCAGGCATTCTCACAGAAGACATCCTGGCAGCACGTGGCCTCGCAACCCTCCGGTGGGCAGAAGGTTGTGTTGCTGGTGCTTTGCAGTGCATCGTGGTTGGCGCATTGCACATGCTCTGCACACGAGGTACGGTCGCAGCAGGTCTCTTCGCAGCCCAGCTCACCACAGAGTGTGGTGTCGTTGGCAACCATGTGGGCTCCTTCCACAGTGCACGTGTAGCCCTCGCACGTGTCCTCGCAACAGGCCGTACAGTCGCCCTGGGGGCACACCTGCGTTCCGTTGACAACGGTCGCGCCAGCCTCACACTCGTGCGCGGCGCAGGTGATGGTGAGACAGCATGTCACTTCACAGCCATTAGCATCACAAGAGTCGGTGGTGGGTAGCTTGTATGCATCCGGGTCTGCGCACGTGTGGTCGGCACACGTGAGTATGTCGCAGCACATTTCCTCACAATCATCACCACACACAGTGGTACTGTTGTCCGTCTTGACGGCGCCTTCCACCTTGCATGTGTGTGCTGCACAGGTGATGCTTTCGTCGGTAGCAACAACAACTTCCGCCTCACAGCATATCGCTTCACATGCTCCATAGTCACACGTGGTGTCGGCCGCGCCCTCGATGAGCGCGAACCCTTCGGCACACGTGTGCGAAGTGCATTTGATGAGTGAGCAGCACGTCTCCTCACAGCCGCTGTCTCCGCAAAGCGTCGTCTGGTCCGAGACCGACTGCGCACCTTCGACGGTACACGTGTGCGTTACGCACGTGGCGTCGCAGCACGCGGAGCAGTCGCCCTTGGGACAAACCGTCTCAGAGGTGGTGTTCAGTCCAATCACGTAGCCTTCGGGACACTCGATGGCGCTGCACGTGACCGTCATGCAGCATTCTGCGGCACAAGCCGCACCGACACACACCGTAGCGTCCGAGCCGGTCTTGAGTGAATCATCGGTGCACGTGTGGTCTCCACAGGTACTGACCGAGCAGCAGATGCTGTCACAGTTAGCTCCACAGACTTCATCAGTGCTTGCGGTGATCTCAGCTCCATCGGACTTGCATGTGTGTGAGCCGCATGTGGCTTCGCAACACTGGTCGCAATCGCCGTCCGGACAGGGGGCATCCGCGCCAATAGTATTGACAAAGCCCTGTGCGCACGTGTAAGCGGTGCACACGGGTGTCTCGCTCTCGCTGTCGCCCTCGGGTAAGAGGGGTGACTGTCCCTCATCACTCATGCGGCAACACACATCAATGCAGTCACCCAGAACTCCGCAGGACGTTCCCAGAGGCTCGGCCATGTACATGTCTTCGCCACATTCCAAATCGGCCGAGCACACCTTGGCGGTGCAACACGCGACATCGCAGTCCGAATTACAAAGCTTGTCGGCTGCAGCTGAGTTCTCCAAACTTGGCTCTGAGCACCTGTGTGTGCCACAGGTAGCCGGCTCACAGCATGCGGTTTGGCAGTCGTTGTCTGCGCAAGCAGACCCATCTGTGACGGACAGCACAGTGCCTGCATCGCATGTGACGCTGGCGTCACAGACCATCGCGCTGCAACAGGTGGCGTCACAATCCTCTCCACAGGCGACCGTAGGATCGAACATATAGTATGGGTTTGTGGTCGAGTTGTCCGCACACTCGTGGGCCACACACATCTTCTCGCAACACGTATCGTCACAGTTGGTTGAAGGGTCACACTCGGTTTCGTTGCCGGCGATCTTGCCGGCAGTGGCGATGATGCACTCGTGCACCTCGCAATTCATGGTGGCGCAACAAGCAGCCTCACAGTCACCATCTGAGCCACAAGTTTGGATATCACCTTCAAACAGGGGAAGGCGGTAACCACCCTCCGGACATGTGAAAGTCTCACATGTGCGCTCACTGCAGCACAGATTCTCACAGTCGTCCTTACAAATGATTGTATCATTCGCGTTGTTGTACAGAGGAAGCTCACACACTTGGTTGCCACATTTGCGGAACGAGCAACATGAGACTTCACAATCTCCGGTCTGGCATGTAGTGTTGCTGTCCAGCAGATTCTCATACTTAGGATCGATACAGGCGTAATCTTCACATGTGGCTGCCCCACAGCAGGTGGTTTCACAGTCACCATCCACGCATTCTATCTCTGGATCTGCGTTGGCGTGCTGATTCACATATCCATCAGTTTGGCACGTATACCCATTGCACACTAGAGGCAGACAACATGTGAGCTCACATCCATCTCCCACACAAGTTATATTAGCATCTACTCGATTATCTGTCAATGGATCTAGACATTCATGATCACCGCAAGTCTTTTGTGCGCAGCATGTTGACTCACAGCTCTCTTCTTCACCTCCACACTCTAGGGTTGCATTCGCGAAGTTCGTCAATCCGTCGGTAGTACAATTGTAACCACCGCATGTATAGGGTGTGCAGCATGAGGCTTCACAGTCGCCGTCAGAACACTCGTGGTCATCAGGTGCTTTGTTCGTAAGTATTGGATCGCTACAACTAAACCCTTCGCATGTGGGTGGATTACAACAGTTTTTCTCACATCCATCCGCGAAACACACTGCGTTTGAGTTGGCTTCATTGGTAGTGTATCCCGCTTCTTGGTCGCATGTGAAAGTAGAACACGATCTCGCTACGCAGCAACTGAATTCGCAATTATTATTAACACACTTCACAGTGTCGTCTTTGTTATTCGTCAATCCAGAGCCTGTGCATTCGTATGCTGCGCATGTTTTCAGATTTTGTTGGACCTGCGAACGATACAAAGGTGTTTTAAGTAATTTTTTTAGCGCACCACGAATTCAAACGCACGTGTAGATACACGTACACAAACAAACACCAGTCTTTCTTCGATTCAGTTTAAAAATGAAATTGCAGGTTGATAAACAATTGAAAACGCCTGTAAAACCGACACCGTGCATCTATTCAGCCAGCAGACAGCAGGTGCATATAACAAGACACCTACCTGTTGTCCGGCTAAATTCCTCAGCGCAATTCCTCCCGGAGAGTTTTGTTCCAATTGCATCTCCGCATCTTTGACAATGTGCCCGTGGCCTACATTGTAATTCCACAGAATAAAAAGCATACAATCTAATAAACAACTATATTACTTTCTGAATAATATCTAAAAATTGCAAGTCCAGTGGCTCCTATGTATATGTTGGTAGGTAGACATTTGGGTGGTAAGTATCTAGTCCGCTGGCTAACGTGCATCACATTGTAATTCTTATGCTGAGCACTTGTAGTCAAGGTTTTATGTTAGGATCAAATGTGCGACAGCCTCAGCATCATTGTCGATCGAACAGAGGTCCGCAATCAATTAATCGATATTCGACGATGCATAAACGAGGCCTCTTCGCAAAGAACGCTTTAAGACACGAGAAAAACATACAACAGTATAGTGCAGTGTGTAGTACTAACGGTCATTCATAGCTGACTCGGCCTGGCTGTAATAAATTGACACTAAATCAGAATACTGTCTGATATTGTATCCAGAAAATTAGACACGAGCGAGAAAAATTCAGCGCGCTATGATATTCCAAGCTAAGTGTGGACGAATATTACAGATATAAACAGATCAATATATATATATATATATATATATCAGATGAAGTCTATAGCTCTAGCACAGTGCACAAAGTGACCAAAATATGAACCAAATAACTCAGGCACCTGTACAACACACACTACCACCATCAGTCGATTTGAATCCAGCTAATCGACGGTGATTCGTATAAAAGCTAAAACACATGTATAATTACAAAAAAAACACATACGTTTTCTTTCGCAACAGATGCTCTCCGCAGTGACGCCAGTGCTACTAAATACAGTCGCTAAGAGCAGCACTGCCCACTTCAGTTGAGTGCTCATCTTGCGCAGGGGGTGTACCTGAACCCTGAGGTTCGGTATACCCTAGTTTTTATGGCCTCGCGTCTAAAGACTTTTTTTTTGCTAATTCCGTCTGTTTGTGATATGGTTCTTTCAGACGGATTGTAGCTACAGAGCGTGCAATATACACACGATGCTCCTAACTTGTTAATTTTAGTATAGTATATTAAATATCCGTCTTCTAATGTAGAGTTGTATATATATATACATACATATATATATATATATACCGCCTATGCTTGTACACACAATAATTTACCCGGATGTACAGTGAATATTTTTAATGGTGTACAAAGGCGCGAAGTAGCTAAGTGGAAAAGTACTACCCCTCGCGTTCATATTCCCGCTGTGTATATACCTCGCGTAAATGCATAAACACAAAACATAATTACATCCGAACTTCAATTGCCCTGGTCCCATGCCCCTTGCTGGGGTGTACGTTCTATCATCGTTCATTTTCCGAAATAAAAATTGAAAACCTCTCAAAGCAACATATTTTAACTGTAAATATATATGCAGTCTTTAAAAATTAAACGACTCTACAGTATATTAGTACTTTACTAAAAACGCAGATACTCTTATACATGCACTTTACTCCTGCTTCTTTTTTTCTTAAATCCAACAATTCGTGAGAAATACTCTGACACTCACAGTCTCACAGACTCCAGTCTCACACAGTGCCTTAGATTGTCGGCCTTGGGCCCTTGGCCTCGTCTGTGTGAGACCCGGATCTGGGACTTGGGAAGTTGGAACAGCTCATAAAGTCCTTTTTTTCTCTTTTTAAATCTACATTGGAATAGATGTACAACGGTTATCTTTTACGTTGTAACGTTTACACCAAATATTCTGGCCTAAATTATGTTCACATGACAATACTAGAGCGCCTGTTCCAATATTATTGGCCACGAAACCCTGCACACACCAATCAAACACAATGAAGTGATGATATACCGGTTGGAAGGACAATATTTATCAATACACTGACCTCCAGGAATGACCCTCAAATTATATTTAGGACTACCAATACATTGAAAACGTTCCTTTTAACGTATCCATGGAAATCTATACGTTGCAACGTAAAACGTGACGAGTGTAAGTCTGCACGGGCCCTCACGGGTTCTAATTTCCAAACTTCTTTTTGTGGTTTTGTTTTTTTACTTTTGTAGAATTTTTTTAATAAAAACAGATTTATCTAAGAAACTATCTAGAATTTATTTCTATACAATGGAACTATTTGACCCACAGTTTTATTTTTTTGTTTTTTTTAACCCAATGAGCAATCACACCCAGGCCCCAGGGCCCAGGACTTAGCACTCAAGCGGTCACCGACAGAAATTTTCTTGTGAAAAACTTAAAACGACAAAACTTTCCGGGGACTCTGAGACTGAGTTTCTGAGTCTGAGGGACTGTGAGGCTTAATACTCCGATTTTTCTGGTTACATAGTTTATTATTATATTTTAAACAATAGTAGTAAAAGTACTGCTACCAAATACTGTTGAAACAAAAAAATACATGTGAGTTAAATATTACCTTTAGACCACTTATATTAAGTAACGATTAAAATCTTATACATACCACGACTCAAAATCGATACTTCAATTCTTACTTGACTCGATGGAGCTTGTGGGTTTTAAAATAAAGAGTATTTGATAATTTTTGAACAAAAAATACACTCGCTACTAAAATCTCATCCTGAGGAAATAAGGGTTTATATTTAGCCCACTGGTCCGTGTTCGTCGAGACTTCCTTCACTGGTGGATTTGCCTCTCGGAGTCTCGAGTCTCGATATGTAGGTGTTGAGAATGCATCTATGGCCTATGAATCTGTATTCATGTGCGTTTTATACTCGCTTTATTTCACTTATATACTGTATTTTTATATGTCTAATTGCAATACTTGGGCACTTGTCGGCAAGGTGATGGGCTCTTCGAGTCTTCTTTCTTCAGTCCAGTCGGATATTCGAGCAACGTACAATGCTCCTTTGTGAGCACAATCGAATAGAAGGTATCGTCTTTCACACATTTAGAGTTTATCATTGTGGTGTTCACCTGAATGTAACAACGACATGGGTGGAAACATTTATGAGCACTGAAATCAAAGGAATGCATTGACATCAGCAAACATAAATAAACCTTTCAAACTTTTCAATAACTTGAAAAAGTTGTGTTTCCCCTCAAATCTGTATTTTAACTAGCGTATATTGCTTGAAATACCGCTAACAACTGATGCAACGTTCGTGTGTATATACTTGTATGTCTAAGTATTCGTTGATTATTTTTATAAATATTATTTTTATTAATATTATTTTTATTTTGTTATATATATGTGTGTGTGTGTGTGTGTGTGTGTGCACGTAAACAATAACTATATCAATATATATATATATATATATATATTTATACTAAAAATGGCATCAGAAATGTGTGCTATCGTATATACTCTCTCGCAATGGGCTAAAGTGCACGTACAGTGCCTACATTATCTTCTGAACTTAGTACGTATGGATATGGACATCAATTTTACTTGTGATATTACCTACTTTTTTTTATACTTGAGGTATCTCCTGTGCATCATTAATAATGTCCTATACTGATTTTATCGCGATCTTATGGTAAGGGCTGTGTACGTTCATATCATGTTGTTCTCACTATGTCGATCATACCAATGGACTGTTTTGCACTCATCGAAGCGAGCGGATACACAATGAGTTTATGATAGAAGAACAGTGTATACTCACAAGCACTATCTCTAGCTTTACTGAGCTTCAGCTTGATCAGCACCAGCATCACGTATCTTTCCCCGCTCACAACTTACACCGCGTTGGACATACTGGTCGGAAGTCGCACTGGCGTTAACAATATCAGTTCGTTGGCTTTCTGTTTTTCTATTGAGTATTGAACCTTGTTCGGAGACCGCTGACTTCGGCCCGTTGTGCATGTATGTTTATTATGCTATATGGATATAGACATAGATGTATATATTTATACATATTTACATACAATCATACATGCCATACACATTTATTGAAACTAGTTCACTGAGTATACATGACTGCATTGATATTACCGATAGAGATCCAGTCGCAGCATGCTGGGATATGTACACTGAAGATGACTGGTGGCCAGGGTGTCATCGACAAATCTCCGCTAACAGGTTGACAAGCTCTTACCACACTCCCATATCTATATCTATATATAAATGTATAAGTATGTATTGCATGCTGTTTTAATGTTAATCGGTATCATGTATGTTTTTTACTTCTATTTATATTCTCACCGGGGTTATGGTTGTACGTTCGTTCTTACTGTGCGTGTTTCCTATCAGGTTAGAATCGAACACACTGAACTTACACGAGAGCAAGTTTGTTAACGTAGGTTTGTTTTTAACATCGTTGGCACGTATGTTGAGGATGTAAAAAGAGAGCGAGTATGCGGCTGTCGATACAAACACTGTAAAATCCTAAATCTGCGGCACTTGCACTTAGAAATTAGCTAAGGGATATATCGGATTTGATCAGTATTTCCGTCATGAAGACTTCCCTGGTACCTTAAATTGTGTATGTATTTGTATATACATATTTATATATATATATGTGTGTGTGTGTGTGTGTGTGTGTATGTATATATATATATGTATATATATATGTATGTATATAAATATATATATATATATATGTATAT